AAAAAAAAAAAAAAATTTACCTTTATTTTGCATCTAAAATACTCAATTCTGGATTCATTTGAATACATCTATCATGCCTGTGGTGACGTGGGGGAGAGATCCCCTCAAAGCTCAACATGTCTGAACTCTAAGGAGACTACTAGAGGCAAGGGGTGCTTGCTCTCCCACGCCTCCAAACCCTCTTGTGCCTGCTCACCCTTGCGCAGGGGATTCACGTGATACTGCGTGTACAACTTCTGTGCTCGTAGCTCTTTGAGGAACAGTTCTCGCAAGATCTGATTCTGATGAACTTCATCCTGAATCACCTTCTGTCCCGAGTGTCCTGCCATGGCCTTGCCCTTGCTCTGAGAGGTCAGGCTATTTGACCTTCCTTTGCCTGGAGAAAGGTCGCCTTCTACTGTCTCCTAGCAACAGTGTTCCCCTTGTGTTCAGGCAACAGCGTCCTTTCTGTCTCTAGGCAACAGCGCCCAGATTCCACAGCACCACCCTCCCTGGCAGTCTTTCCCTGGCTTCTGTCCACTCCACCCCTCCCAGTTCTCAGGCTCCTTGGTGTCTCATTAATCCTCCACCAGCGTCCTCAGACCCGGACCCAGCATCTGGATCTAGAGCGGCCCGGGTGCACTGCTAGGAAAGGGCTGCTGTCCCTTCCCCCACCCAGCAAGAAAAGACTGAAGAGTGGACCTCAGCATGGCTGATCATTTCCTAAAGACGGTTTGAGGAGGAGACAGAAACTTATAGGTTTGAAAGTAGGTGCCCAGAATGGGGGGTGGGGGGGGGAGAGAGAGAGGGAGAGAGAGAGAGAGAGAGAGAGAGAGAGAGAGAGAGAGAGAGAGAGAGAGAGAGAGGAGGAGGGGGCGGGGCAGAGACAGAAACAGAAAGAGTTAAATATTGCTGCTGCCATGAGAACCAGCCTCCAGCAGCTCAGGGCTTGAGATAGGGCCTACGAAGTTGGCAGACCCTTGACTTTTTTGAGGGAGTAACACTTAAGTTGCTAAACTTAACTCTCTGGGGCAGGAGAGAGAGGGAAAGAACACACACATACACTCCTCGAGTCTTTCTATCATCTTCTGTCTCATTTCTGTCTTTATTTTTCCTTTACAGCTTACATATCCCAACAAAATCTTTCAAGCAATATAAAAACTACAATGTGGTTACATTCTATTTTTCAAGTGAATGATTACAACGAATACAAATAAAAAACAGCATGTTTTCTATATCCCTTATATGATTAAACATTTTACATATTACAGGTGAAAAACAAGTTGTCCCAAGAACCCACATACATTCATATCCAAGCAACTTGTTAGAGATTAACAGAGTGTAAGCAAGCAAGGTATTTTTCTCAGCCAATTCTTTTGCTGGCAGGCTGCATTTTGCAGTTACAGAGAAAGAATCAATCATTTTATTACTTATCTTAAAAGTGAATCTTATAAGAAATCTTAAAGGAATCACAAACCCAAATTTTTATCTATGAAAAAGAAATAGCTCTGTTTTAAGTCCTCAGGGTGCATAATACACACTCATCAACAGTTTTCTGTATCAGGAAGCCAAGGGCAGAAATGGGTACAAGGAATTAATCATCACCTTTGGTCATCAACCGATCCTAGCAAGAAAGGCATGTCAGCTAGTAATAATTGGGCTGCTTTGTTCTTGTCCCCTGACTTGAATGAGTCCCTCACTCAGCTCTGTGCCTTTCTAAAACTTTAGATTGTTTCCTAGCATTTTTCACCTCAAGGCTATTGACAAAAACATCTTAGTCTAACCTTAAGTCATTTTCGAAGCTTTGTTTCTGCTATGATGCACTCTGAAACCTAGAAAAGCATCTCCCAACATTAAAAGAATTTAAGCTAGTTTGGCCTCTGGGATTCAACTGTTTTTCTTAATCATAAACCTAAGCCATAGTTTGTATATACATGGCTCCTCAAGAGAAACTAGCTGTGTGACCTTTCCTTGTTTTATTTTTTTATCCTCTGCAGCCTCTGCTTTATCAGAGGCAGGGGCAACATTTTATCCTATGTTAACTTTTCCACTAACCTAACCTCTAGCATAATCCCTTACTATATTTATTAAAAGCCCTCAACCATCAAAATTCTATTTAAACTGACACTATTATTATATATAAAATCACTGTTTCAGTTAAACATTAAGAGGAAATCATCTTCATAATAACCCACATGTAAAAATGCCCAGCAGAACAGGATATTCCCAAGACTACATTAAGGGCAGTGGGGATCTCCCCACACCCATTCACACCATGCCAGATACCAGAGAAAATGGCAGTGGTAAACATGCAAAGACATAGCAGGAGCAAGAAACATCCAGGGGCTGAGGCTCTCGGGGCCTCGCCTATCCAAGAATCACCCATCAGAGCTTTGCTTCCCGGTGGGCTGGCTTCCTGAACCTCAACTGCCACCTGCTGGTCCTCTGACAGGACCACCTGCAGTCAATCTTCTGATCAGTGCCCAGAGACAGACAGGTCCACTGCTATAGATGTAATCATCTTATTAAATAAGAAACAAGGGCCAATACAGAGATGAAAGCCAAGAGGTCAGAGCAATAGCTAAGAGCTTAAAACCTTACCCTTCACTGTCGCTGTACCTCTCTGAAAGAGAGCTACTTCCTGTGTCTGTCTTTTTTTATAGAGTTTCTGTTCTGCCTTCTCATTGGTTGTAAACCCAACCACATGACCTCCTAGTCACTGCCTGTCTGTACAGACCTCCAGGTCTTCTATGGTTGGTATTGAGATTAAAGGTGTGTGTCTCCAATGCTGGCTGTAACCTTGAACACACAGAGATCTACCTAGCTCTGCCTACCAAGTGCTGGGATTAAAGGTGTGCACCACCGCCGCCCAGCTTTTGCTACGGCTTGCTAATAGCTCTGACCCCCGGGCAACTTTATTTATTAACATACAAATCACATTTCAGTACAAATAAAATATCACTATACACTGCCCTTTCTAATCTAAGTAATTCACATCTTTATGGTTTGTTTTATTTATTATTCTTGCAATACTAGGGGTTGAACTCGGAGCTTCTGCATGTTGGGGAGCTGCTCCAACACTGAGCTATACTCCAGCCTTTTCATTTTAAGACAGGACCTTGCTAAGTTGCCCAGGTAAAGGTTAAACTTGCAATCCTCCTGCCTCAGCCTCCTGAGTGCTGAGATTATAGGCCTGCCCCACCAAACCCAACTACCTTCAATTTTTCATTGTAGTAAAATGCACATCTTCTAAGACCTCCCATCTCAGCCGTGGTCAAGTGCGCAGTCCAGCTGCATGAAGTACAGGCACAGTGTGAGGCTCGCCCAGCTCCAGAATTCACCCCTTAGGCAACTGTCTTCTGCCCCATCCCCTGGCAACCGCCATCTTTCTTTCTATTCCTATGTTCAACCCTTAAACACCTTCTATAACATAGTTTATGTTTAAATAACCAGAAGTAGCCTACAGTAGGGAGAGAAGCCATTCCTGGCTCTAGTGAGCAGCTAAACACAGATGCTAAAGCTTGTACTCATTCATTCATTCACTCCTTCCTACATCATGACCCAGGATAGTTGATGTGTGACACTATTTCAAGAGTTTGTGGCCATTGCTTCCCATCCCCAAATCCTCATGTCCTACCAGTGACTTCATAATCAGCTGCTTTTTCTCCTCGGCCTGTAGGGTCCTCTGCCTCTTGTCTGCAGAACCTTTCTACCCAGTGTTTCTATGAGTTCACATGCAATCGCCCTTCAAAAGCCTTGCCAAGCTGCAGAGTCCCTGTCTGTTGATGCTCTATTGCAAACTTAGTTACTTCCCTAAATGTACTTGTTTAGATCTAAGCTACTTAAGATGAGTTGTATCATCTCTCTCTGCATTTCCAGGCCATGCGGTAGAGGTAGGTATGTGTTTTGTGTTTGCTGGCTGACTGGGTGTCTGTAGTTTTGTTTGTTTACATTATTATATAATCCCTTAAAACATTCAGATAGACTGTTTCACACTGACTTAATAATACGTTTATGACTTATCAATGTGACCATGCCTGGCCCTCTGGGTTTCAAGCAAGGCTCAAATTGCCTCTTGGAATCTTCACTGCCTTCTGGAGGGTAAGAAGGAATAAGCTGAGCCTTCAAAGCCACATGGTTGGTTTGAGGATAATTTACAAGATTGCACCTGTGCTCTGTCAATAACACGTCCACTCAGCTTGAATTATTAGCCTCGTATCTGGGACCCTTCATGCAGGGTTGGTGCTAGGGTTGCCTAGAAGGTCAGAAGGAAATCCTAGACTGAGAAGAAATGACAATTAAGGGCACAATGAGATGTTTAGGGTGTGGAGGCTGAAGATGGACACTTAACCAAAAGTCAAGGAGGAAGTGAATATTTAAAATTCTTCAGGATGGGACAAAATCAGAGGAAGATCCAAATGACTGAAAGAGTAAAACAGTTTGACATTGAAAGAGAAGGAACAGTTAAAGTGATTTAAAAAAAAAAATGTGTTGCTTGTGGGATATCCAGGAAAAATGAAGCATAAAAAATAAACATTGAAAATCCAAATTAGCGGCCATTTGCACCAGCTGATGAAAAAGACCTGAGATTTCTGTCTCCTGTAACGAGCATAGCTCAGAAAACATGATTCCACAACTATATCAGGTGGGAGATTTGGTTGATTCACTTTGTGTTTCTTATATGTAAGAGTGTTTTGCCTGCATGTATGTAGTGCATCACGTGATGCTTTGCCCACAGAGGTCAGAAGAGAAGGTTGGATTCCCTTGAACTGGAATTGCCGGTGATTATGAGCTACCTTGTGGGTGCTGGGAACTCAACACAGGTCCTCTGTAACAGTAGCAAGTGTTCATAATGGCTAGGCCATCTCTTCAGGCCCTGCTTTGGTTTTTTTTTTTTTTTTTTTTTTTGAGCTAGGGTCTCATGGGGACACTGGCTTTGAACTCACCACACAGCTGAGGTTGATTTTGAAGTCCTGATCCTCCTGCCTCCACCTTCCCAGTTGAAGCCTGGGCCACCATGTCTGGCTTAGAAAAAAACAAGACTCATGGGAGGTTTCTGGAGAAATGTCATTTGTATGTCCTATTGCAGGAGCCATAAGCTGCTGAAGTTAAAGGTCACTGGGAGGGAGTGAAGCCTATCTCCAGGGACTGGGGAGGCTCCCACAGGGCCTACAACAGCCTTGATCAGCAATGCCAAGTGGCACAGGAAGGTAAAGGGGATTGGGAGGATGACAACTGTCTGGCTCCAGCCACAGCCATCAGGCCCTAAGAGCCACACACCACAGTCTTGTAGGACTCAGGACTTTCTTCCACAGTAAAGTTTCTGCAGAGCAAACTTCATGTCTTTGTTCCTCAGACAATAGACAACTGGATTCAAAGAAGGAGTGAGGACAGAGTAGAAAACAGATGCCAGGCGACCCTGGATCGGGGAGTACCGAGAGGCAGGCCTCAGGTACACAAAGCTTCCAGTTACATAGAACAAGACGACTGTGGTCAGGTGAGAGGAACAGGTAGAAAAGGCCTTCCACCTGCCATCCACTGAGGGAATGCGGACAACTGTGGACACGATGCCCACATAGGAGAGGACCGTGAGGGCGAAGGAGCTCATGACAATGCAGCTGCTGACGGCAAAGCCCACCTCCTCGTGGAGACGGTAATCAGTGCAGGACAGTCTCATGACTGGAGGGATGTCACAGAAGAAGTGTTCAACAACATTGGGTCCACAGTAGGGGAGGGAGAAGGTGTTGAAAGTGTGGAAGGCTGAGTAGATGGTCCCACCCACCCAGGCAGTGACCACCAGCTCAACACAGCATTTCTGGCTCATGATGGTGCCATAGAGCAGTGGTCTGAGGATGGCCAGGAACCGGTCATAAGCCATGGCCGTGAGCAGGAAGCATTCAGTACAGCAAAGTGTGAGAAATATGTAAAGCTGGGCTACACATTCGAGATAGGAGATGCCTCCCGAGCCTGTGAAGGATATCAGCACTGCCTTGGGGATGGTGGCTGAAGTGTAGCTCATGTCCAGGAAAGATAAATTCTTCAGGAAGAAGTACATGGGGGAATGAAGCCTACTGTCTCTCATCACTGCTATGATGATGGAGCTGTTCCCCAGGAGGCCAAATGTGTAGATGAGCAAGAAAAACGGGATGACCACCAATCTCAGCTGTGGGACATCTGAGAAGCCCCTGAGGATGAAGTGCGTCACTCTTGTATGACTGCTCAAGTTGTGTTCAGATGCAGGGACCACACACAGCTAAGGGAGGGGACAGAAATAGGAGGCAGGCTCAGAACATGTGTCTGCATCTCCATGTTGTCTACAGAATCATGGCTTTCACTAGAAAACTAACACCAAGAAGCAGCTTATCTAAATGGCATTTCAAGGAAATGAGAAGGAGGCAAGGGAGGAAGAGGAAAAGGGAAAGGGAGAAGAGAGGAGGGCAGAGAGGGCACACTTGCTCTTGAATTCTCCATGGAGCCAAGTGGGAAGCAGTCCCGTGCATTTGCTTTCTATGTGTTGAAGCAAGTCAACTCATAACATTTCAATGTTGTTTCAAAGGACAGAGCAGTTTTATTTTTACTCTCATTATTAACACATTTCTTCTTAATATCCTACAGATTTTCTGAATCTCCTCATATATTCTTTCTATTGCTGATTCAACACACACACACACACACACACACACACACACACACACACCTACCTTCTTTAGTAGTAATTTCATTATTAATTTTTCTTAAGAGACTTTTTTAATTAATCATTCTACCAACACTGTTGGCCAGATGTCCTCTTGAAGAGCACATGTAACATGAAACACTTGAGTTCAAGGTTTCTGTAAATCTCTGTTCCTAGAGACCTTGCTTTTATTTATCCTCCTGGTTTTTTCCCACCCTGTGGGTGTGTGATGCAGGAACATGCTATACTCTCTCTCTCTCTCTGCCTGTAGAGATGGTCAGTATCTGATGAGCCCTCAGTAGACATTAGTGACTGTCATCACCCTCAGAGATCAGCCTCGACGCCTAGCTCTGAGCTCTGGGGACTGAGCTGTGAGCAAGCTCATGTGTGTGGACAAACATAAACCCCCAACACTCACTGATGCCAAATGCATAGCCTGCTGATTAGGTTTAGTAGAGTATATAGTATACATCCATGGAAGTATCTGCTGCTCTGAGTCCTTTCTCTGGTTCATCAGCAGCTCCAAAGAAGACAGCCATGGTCTGAATAGGGGGGCACTGAGGCTCCCACTTTCATCATGTATTCCCTACACTCCTGGGAAAGACTGCACTACTATTTGGCTGAGGACCTCATGATCACCCCCAGGTCAGCTGGGAGTGAGCAGTGCAGGCATTGGGGCCGATAAAGGCACCGGCTACAGCCTGGGTGCTGTACCAGAGCCTGGGCAGCTGGAGAGAGCAGTGTGGGGATTTCCCTTAGAAAAGGCAAATGTGCACTGTGTTTGGGAAAGGGCAAAGTTTGTAGAAAATACAACTGCTGGTGTACTCTGGGTGGGACAGAGTGGCTTTGGTCTTACCTGGAATTCCTGACACAGCATATCAGATATTCCCATCAAAAGGAAGAAGCTTGAAGGAGCTGGGTGGAAAGGATTGGGTATGGATGCCCCTGTGAAAACTCCGTGTTTCCTGCAGTTTGGGAAATATCACAAAAATAAAGCACAATTATTCCCCTAGGATAGAACTGAGAAACCTTCTCTATCTCTGGTGGGCATGGACCCACCCAGTACCTGGCCTCAACTCCTCTCATGAGCTCTCAGTCTTGCATCTTTGGCTTCAGAACCAGTACAGCCGGATGCCACTCACAGCACTGCAAAGTTCTGTTGCCTGCTCAAGATGTAGCCCGGCCCTTGAAACACTTTATAACAGGTCCTGGGAGCTAACCCTGGGGAAACACTTTCGCCATGGAGCTGCTTTTGAGGAGCAGGGAAGGAACCCCTTGGCTGAGGCTTTTTCTCATTAAACAAGATGGTGCCTCCAATGAATCAGGTTTTCCCTCGGGACGCTTTTACCATTAGGACACTTTTTCCACTCTCCCCATGCTGGAGGCTTCTCTGCGATGGTGCTGCTCTCTCTATTATAGCCCGAACACCAGCCTGCCTTGAAATTTCCCCGGCCAAACAAATGAGTCCATTATCTCTCAGTTCAACCTCACTCAGGTTCGCAGGACAAGAAGCCAAATAAAGCCAAATTCTTGGCCAAAATATCACAGGAATGGTTCTGTCCCAGTTTCTGGTAGAGTTGTTGTTCCCTCTGAAATCTCACGAGCTGGCATCTGTCATTTCTCTGCATTTTGTTGAAAGCTCTGCTTACAGCATTCAATGGCTTTTTCAGCCCAAACTTCCAATTCTTCTACATTCCTCGAAACAGTCCCAAAGGCTTAAAAGCTAGGCAGTCAGGGTCATCACGGCAATGGCTCTGCTTCTCAGACCAATTTTGTTCTGATTTTGTTTCCTGATACTGTGATAAAATACCAGAGAAAGGGCTTAAGATTAAAGTTCACCATTGGTGGGGGGGGGGGGGATCACAGCATTTAGACTGTGCTAAATTGACAAAAAAAAAAAAAAAACATCACAAACACCAAGAAAAATATCAGAATGGATCGTGCAGGTGGCTGTAAAACCATTGTAAGAGTCTGCAGGAAAAAATAGCTTGAGTATATAAAATCTACAAATTCATAATTCACCCACAGGAGCACGGCAGCAACAACTTTGCACCAACCAGGAGGGTGCTGGGCAGTTGGGCACTATTATGATCTCTTTGTGATGAGGAAGCGTTGTCCTGCCCAACGCCATGACAGACAAGGAGAACCACATGCAGGCCTGAGGAGGTCCGCTCCGGGCTTTAAGGAGAAAACACGGACCCACCTGGCACCTTGCAGCGCCAGAAAGATGGGCACTATTATGGTGAGCAACTGCATGGTGTGGTATGGAAGAGAGAGAGAGAAAGAATGGTTCATGTCCTGTGGACAGAGGCATGCCTAAAGATCAGGAGAAAGAGGTGAGGAGTGGGCTGAGGTAGGTGGCTTGATTGCCACCCAGGGCCATGGTGATGTCTGGGCCTGGGCTGCTGCTAGGGCCCATGTCTGGATTCATGGCTCTAATGCAGCCACTGTCTCTGTTGACGTCCGTGGCTCCTAATACTGTCGAAAGCCAAGAGGATAGGGCTGTATAGAGTTGGTCCCGCCCCTCACTGACTGCAGCACTTGTGAGAACTGGTCCTGCCCCTCACCAGCTGAAGCACTCAGGAGAGAGGGTTCTACACCTCACCTGGGCAGCAAAATAGAGCTCGCCCTGTTTGCAGGGACATGGGTGAGCTGGCCCTAAGGGCATGAGAATGGGAGAGTAGGTTGTGTCCCTCTCATATGCCACGTGGTACCATGGGTAAGGGGAAAATGCCCTCCTCCCCTCACTCCTGCAGCAGGTGGCAGACCTGACTGGACCCCTCACCAGCTGCAGCACTTGGGAGAGCAGGTCCTGCACCTCACACAGGCAGCCCAGTCGAGCCGATCCTGTTGGCACAGGTGTGGGTGAGCCAGCTGCAAAGTTGTGAGCATAGGAGAGATGTCCCCATGTACTCCTTGCCCTTCGCTGCCTGTGACAGATGAGGGAGCCCACCCTCCCCCTTACCAGCTGCAGCACTCTGGAAAGCAGGCCCTGCTCCTCCCCTGGGCAGCACGGTAGGGCGGACCCTGTTGACAGGGGAACGGGTGAACCTGCCCAAGAACATGAGCATGGGAGATCTGGCCCCACCCCTCATCTCCATATGGTGGTGTGGGTAGGGGAGAGATGCCCCTCTCGTGCGCCCCGCGCCACCTGTGGCAGTTGGGAGAGCTGTCCCTGCCCCTCACCAGCTGCAGCACTCAGGAGAGTGGCTCCTGCACCTCACCTGGGCAACACAGTAGAGCTGGCACTGGTGGTCCAGGTGTGAGAGAGCCAACCCTGAGGGCATGAAAGAACTGGCTCCATCCCTTCCCCATTGCTGCAAGGGGCGAACTATCCAGAGCATTGCTGGAGAGCTCCCCCTGGTGGTGGAGATAGGGGGTGGGGGTGCTGGCAGACCAACCCAGAACCAGGTCTATGAGTTGGCCCACCCCAAAAATCCACCCCATCTATGATCTGCTGGAGTATGTGAAGTGGCTGGTCCTGCAGACCCAAAGCTGCAGGATCTCCATGACACAGGGCAACAACAAGCTATCCCAGAGGAGTTCCAGTGAGAGCCCAGCATCGACACTGTAGAAGAAACCAGGGTCTCAAACCAGACCAACGACTCTTTACAATGAACACTTGCAGATAAAGATATACGGATGAAGGGGTTTATTGCATGACTCACTGTGTCACTCTACAGCTTCCATGATGATATTTTTCCTTTTTTCCCCCTTAAACTTTATTTTATTTGTGCGGGGTGGAGGCAGTTTTGCAAGGGCAGAGGATGGATGCAAAGGGATGGGGAAATGAATGGGATCAAGATGCATAATGTGAAAGACACAAAGAATAAATAAAGTTTTAAAATTCACAATAATACATAAATGATTCAAAATCAGTTGTTAATAAGCAAACAACTTTCTATGTGTAAAACAAACACAAGATATTCCTTTCCTGAAGCCCCTTCTATTATGTCCATTCTGCTCTCTCTCTGGGTTTCCTTATTCTTCTTGCTCATGAAACATCAAAATTAGAATCCACTGGCCCAGGAAACCACTTGTTTGGGGTCATTGTGATGGCGATTGATTATCCAGGACCCTAGCACCCTGAGCTAAGCTCAAGCAAGAGCCATGAAAGACTCTGCCACACTCTAAGACTCACATCAGGAGAATCAGATGGTCTAAGAAACAAAAGATGAGGATTTAGTGTTTTGTGGTGGGATCGAACCCAGGGCCTTGTGTGCTGGACAAGCACTTTATCACCATGCTCCATCTGCTGCCGCAACTTAGGGCTTTGAATAGGAAGAGGTTGCTGTATCACCATTTATTCCTGAAGTTCTTTTCCTGAGGGCAAAAGGGTTCATTTTAATTATATACTTGATTTTTTTCAAACATAAGCAACTTAATGTTTATTTATTAATGTTGAATTAACAAATTTTGCAGAATCAAAATGTATTAAATAATATAGATAAGTACAAACAATATAGGGAGTTCTATTTCTATTCTATTACAAAATATCTTATATACTAAAAAGGTACAAACAGGTTATATTTAGTAAGTATAGATTCGGTGTGTTTCTAATACTTAGCACAAGCGTTACTATGGCCACGCCACCCTGAACGTGCCCGATCCCATCTAACACTTAGCACAATTGTATTGAATACGATTTTTGTTAAAGTGACTAGTAAGATGGCTTCCATCAGGCAGCTCACTCAGTAACTGCATATGGTTCCTGGGATTGCTAATAAAAGGTTGACCCTCACTCCAGATCAGAATCTTATAAAAAAAAAAATAGCCCAGTGACTATACTGTTTTTATACTGTATCCTTTTTGATGCGGATTTTGAATATGGAGCTAAATTTCCTGGTGGCTCTTCAGTGAGGACTTTTTTTTTTTAAGATTTATCTATTTATTATGTATACAGTGTTCTGTCTGCATGTTTGCCTGCACACCAGAAGAGGGCATCAGATCTCATTATAGATGGTTGTGAGCCACCATGTGGTTGTTCGGAATTGAACTCAGGACCTCTGGAAGAACAGTCCATGCTCTTAACCTCTGAGCCATCTCTCCAGCACCCCCTAGTGAGGACCTTTTATGAAAACCCACATATCACACAAAGATAAAGACATTGAATCAGTAATGCTGGCTCAAGCCCCTTGAGCAGGAAAGATGGAGATCAGGATCTTTTGTCAATCCAGGACACAGAGCCATGACACCCATATCCTGAAGGTTGGGTGATACTCTTAGCTCAGGAAATAGATCCTCCTGCCGTATTTCTTGTTGAAGCCTGGGTGCCTAGTTCACCTGGGCATGCATTTGTAGCATCAACTTCATTATTCAGATATCTGATATGTTTGAGCCCTAGTTTTCCCCCAAACTGGCTCATAATCTGAATTCCTAAAGGACAGTTTTAAAAGGCAGATTTTGTTGCAAATGTTATTTTCATTATCTGTGGGATTGTAATCTTAGTTCCTGGAAACTATGAGCTATCTTAAATTCTAACCAAGAAAAAAGAAACAATGAAATACAGTGTTGAACCAAGTTATCCTATACTCGGAGTTACAGCCTGATTGGGCATTCACTCTAGGATTGGAAACCACCATTCCCCACTCCAGTGATTTAACTGGCTTCTCTGAATTCCACAGATATTGATTACATGGCTTCATTTATTGCAGTTCTATTATCAGCCATTTGTAAAGTTGGTGCTTGAAGAAAGGAGAATTCTGGCCATGCTGGCATTGACAGGCTGGGAAAGATGGTAGGCTTCGTGGTGGGATGGGCAGAAGATGTGCAAGAAGTTCAAGTTACCTGGGGAATGTGTGTGCCCAGGAGCAGTGAAGGACAGCCCTAGACACTTATAAAAGGGGAGAGCTTGATCTACAACACCCAGTGCTTTTCCTTCAGTCAGATCTTTCCATGACAGTATAAAGTGTTTATGTTGTTGCTGGTTAATATTTTAGTTGCTGCAACATGTCTGTCACCAAAATGCTTGACTCTGGAGATGAAGTTTTAGAGGATGGACTCTATCAGCATGGGCATGGCAGACAGGACAGTTCATGCCAATGCAGACATCTACCTAGACTGAGATGCAGAGAACACATTAAATCACTCATATAGTTTCAGAAAAAAAAAATGGACTCATGGGCTAAAATGTCAGATTCTTTCTCTGCAGAGGTTCTAGAGCTGGTAGTAAAATGTTTTTAGTATATTGCTATAACATTATATTTGGAAGAGAAACTAAATAAAGTGAAAATAAAATGACTTCAGGTAGAAATCAGACTGTAAAAGCCCCTTTCAAACCCCCTTTGTTATGAACAACCTGCGTGTCTTAAAACCTACTGCACCCTAGGACAAATGTTTTTGTTTCTATCTTTAAAAACTATAAATTACCAATATTCCTTAATTTACAATGGGGCTGTATTGGGATGAACACATCATAAGCTGGAAGCTTTTAAAAATATTTTTTTATTTATGTGTACAAGTGTGGCTCACAATCCCTTTTGATTTTCAAACTTGAGCTGCAGACATTTTCTCTCAAGAGCCTTCTCTGACTGCCTATCTGCTCATCTGTCCGTCTATCTATCTATCTATCTATCTGTCTGTCCGTCCATCTATCTATCCATCTATCCTCTATAGTTTTATATATGAGTGCTTGTTCATGGAAAAGGGGCAAGGAAAGAATAAAGAAAACAGGATCCACTGCCCTCTTCTGGCCTCTGCAGGCACCTACACAGAGGTGGCGTGCACACACACACTCACGCAGACACACACTTGTGCACATAAAGTTAAAAAAAATTAAAGTTTCCAACTTATGCCATGTTCATCTCAATACAGCCTTATTGTAAACTGAATAACATGGGTAATTTATAATTTTTAAAGATAGAAACAAAAATGCCTGTCCTTGAATGCAAAAGGTTTTAAGACACACAAGTTGTTTGCTCATAACAATGTTTGAAAGAGACTTTCACAATTTGATTTCTATCTGAAGTAATTTCATTTTCCCTTCTATTTAGTTTCTCTTTTAAATGTAACTTGTTTATTTGTTTTGTTTTGTTTTTTCGAGACAGGGTTTCTTTGTGTGATTTTAGTGCCTATCCTGGATCTTGCTCTGCAAACCAGGTTGGCCTCAAACTCTCAGAGATCTGCCTGGCTCTGCCTCCCAAGTGCTGGAATTTAAGGCGTGCACCACCACTGCCTGGCTTAAATGTAATTTTTTACAGCAACATACTAAAATTTTTTTTTTAATTTAAGCTCTAGGACTTCTACAGAGAAAGAATCTGACATCTAAACCCCTAAGTCCATTTTTCTGAAAATCCAGGAGTGGTTTAGTGTGTTCTCTGAGTCTTAGTCTTGGTAGACACGCTGCTGGAATAGGAAAGGTGTTGGGAGCCAGGCTGGATGGTTAGAATCCCTCAGTACAGGGAGCAAGGAAAGGCACAGTCTGTCTTCCGGCCTGTGGTCCCTGGTCTTCCGGAACCCAATGTAGCATCATCACCTTTGACTCAACTCCAATGTCGAGTGGTTGTTGCATGCAGTTGATGTAGGGTCTTTGAGGGTCTTATATATATCATACATATATACTGGCAGTCTCCTCTGAAATGGACAATATTTAAAAAAGAAAGAAGGAAGGAAGGGAGGAAGGAAGGAAGGAAGGAAGGAAGGGAAGGAGGGAGGAAGAGAAAGAGAGAGAGAGAGAGAGAGAAAGAGAGAGAGAAAGAAAGAAAGAAAGAAAGAAAGAAAGAAAGAAAGAAAGAAAGAAAGAAAGAAAGAAAGAAAAGAACAAAAGAAAGAAAAAAACAAAAGAAAGAAGGAAGGGAGGAAGGAAGGGAGGGAGAAAGAAAGAAAGAAAGAAAGAAAGAAAGAAAGAAAGAAAGAAAGAAGAAAGAAAGAAAGAAAGAAAGAAAGAAGAAAGAAAGAGAAAAAGAAAAAAGAAAGGAAGGAAAGAAGGAAGAAAGAAAGAAAGAAAGAAAGAAAGAAAGAAAGAAAGAAAGAAAGAAAGAAAGAAAGAAAGAAAGAAAGAAAGAGAAAGAGAGGGAAGGAATGAAGGAAAGAGAAAGAAAGAAAGGAAAAGATAGAAGGAAAGAAAGAGAGAAACAAAGAAAGAAGAAGGAAAGAA